CAGTAAAACTTGACAATACTTACTTGATGTACTGCTACTGCCTGTAGTTCGGTATGTACAAAAAAAGTAAACATTTATGCCAAATCATGAGTTAGTCCCCAAACATGCACATATTTATATTCTTATTATCTGAAAATAGCAACTGTGAGCCAAAGTGCCTATGTAAAACCCTGCTGCAGCACAGAGGACCACAGCTGTGGCACACACCAACTGCAAAGCTGTGCTCTTCCCTGGAATCCAGAAGAAAACAGGAAGGGTGGCACTGAAACTGCTGGCCATACCCAGACATAAAACCAAGCTTTCACATCAGACCTTCACATCCTCACCCTGGGGACTTTACCAGCTGAGGGAAAGGTACCACAGCCATATATATGCATTGCATCAAGAGGAAATGTCATATCCTGTGCTTGTTTAAGAGTTCCTAAACATTCTTGCCTATACTGTGCGTATATAATTCCTTGTTAGAGTAATGCACTATGCATAATATTTTCCATACATACATCTCAATATTTTGAGCTCTGTAACAGTTCTCCAAAGTCCAGCTGCAAATCCTGAAGCCTGTGAGGCAAATTGATGTTCCTAGCTCAGCACTAAAGCTCTGCATATGTGTGCTGGGCATGGATACGTGGTATGTACGTATCCCTTCCCTCAAGGCCCCCAGATGTGTACTAGCCTTCAGACAGGTCACAGACACAAAGTCCCCAGAAATGAGACACAGGATGTCTCTGTCCATCCTGCCTGTTCTGCAGGTGGGCAGTCACCTCATTGCTCAGGCCCCACAGCACAGTAGGGGCAGAGCCCAGAACAGATCACCGAGATCTTTGGCTGCCTTTCCTGGCTGTGCCGAGCACTAGGTCTTGCTGCAGCACAGGGCGAGGCTCAGCCAGGAATGTGTGGCGGAGGCTCCCAGGGAACAAAACTGGTTCCTTTGTGCTCTGGGAGGACGTACAAGCTCAGGCAGATGTAGGTGCAGTACAAGAACTGCCCTAAATCACAGTGACTTGCTACAGGTGTCTTTGCAGAGCCCTGTGTTCTTGTTCCCTGAACAGGAGCGGCACAGGGAATATTAACCAGTCACTGCTTAATTCAACCATTATGCGTGTTCTTGTGGGATAGAGGGAAGGGAGAAAATGACTGGATAACCCAGCTCAGAGGTCACTGAGAGCTGAGAAAACCAGCTTCTTTCTGACCTGTTTTACCACTGAAGGAAGGCAAAAGGACCGGTGCAAGATAAGCATCCAGAGGCCTTTTCTCAGGACACTGTTTCCTCTGCCAGCCCAAACAGGGCAGATGACTGTCATGCCTGTGACAGCCACCAGCCTGAACAGAGACAATTCTCAGCACATAATTCAGTGTTGTGTTTTCACTTGTGTCCTCTGTGAATATTTTTCTTGTAAAATGTTAGCCAGATTTATTCTCTGTCTGTCATGCTGTCATGCACACAAAGTCAACTTGCTGACTGTAGAATTAATTAATCTGCATTTTTCCATTAATTTCTATATTTTACATAAGCCTAAGATTCAGCTCACTGGTGAGGAAATGCTGTCAGATACTGACTTTCACTACAAGGGTGCTGACGGTCCTGATGCTGGATGGGATGAACAGTGGCAGTTTAGACAACTCATCTTTGCATAGGGAAGTCTGTCTTGCCCAACCAGTCCAAAACATGACGGGGAGTAATAATATAAAAATTAATCTTATAAAAAAGAAAGAATGGATTGAGGAGGGTACTTGAGGTTTGTAGTTGGTTTTTGATTAAACTGTTATTATTTTTTCTGGTTTTTTTTTTACAACTGGATTGATGCTAAGTAGATTGTGGTCTATCCTCTCCTGTTCTAGCTTTATAATGCAGCCTACACCATCTTAATTCTGTGTCTTCAAGGATTCAAGTAATTACAATGACCATGCAAGTGTTCTCCCCTCTCCATAGAAGAAGGTATTTCTGCAGTACAGGATCTTGTTTCAGTAGGTGTTTTGGATTTGGTTTTTTTGCCTGTTACTTTGGTTTAGATTGAGGAAGAGGTTCTTCTTCAATTCAGTACATGCAGACCAGGACCTCAACTCCACAGGAAGAGAGTGTATAAAATAGCAAATGACAGCTCTATCTGTGCTTGAGAGGGTCACCAGCACCGTATTGGTCTCCTGTTTCTCCCACTGGATGCCACTGGGCAGGGCTGCCCCATCATTCCTACAAAAAGCCACCATCCCACAGTGATCAGCAGCCCCAGGCCTGGGGGTGCAGCACCTGTAGCACAGCTGAGCCACCCATGCCGCTCATGGGGCACAGTGAGCACATTCAGGACAACTAATTTTCCAAGAAACATGGTAATTAACATGTTTACATCCAAGTACACAGAGGTGCTGGGAGGCCATTAACTTTGACAGATGTGGTATTTCTTTCTCTAAATGCCTCTTAGCCAGTGTGTCAGTTGGAGATGTCCCAGTTAGGACAGCTCCATGCCCTTCTCTAGGTGTCTGTCCTCACTTTATTTCAGACTAAATGCATTCTGCAGTGCATATGTGCCCTTCCTAAGTGGAAGATCCTGTTCATTTTAATGGCTCCACTCCCTTGAATAAGGACAAGACGAAAGTTGGCTGGATCAACTGTTTGCCCTAACCCAGCCTGTTTCAGTATCCTTAAGCACTGTAATGATTTTCTTTGGAAGCAGGAAGTATAAATTTAAATTAAGAACATAGCTTAAGGAGAAGCAAGATCTTTTAACACCCAGCACTGGAGTTTTACTTGAAGAATGTGCACTGAGAGAGTCAGAGTGGAACGATCTTTTTGTTCTCTTTGTACAGCACCTAAGGCAACACTGCCAAAGTCACAGAGAAGGCTCCTCAGCAACTACAGCAGTACTAGTGCCAGGAGTCTGTGAAAGCAACTTTTCTCTTTTCTTGCTTCCATCCTTGTGCCTGGATTGGACTAGCAACCTGTATCATTTGTGTTTTCCATTTAGACTAACCTCAAACATTTGGTTTCCCCTTGATTGGAAACAAGTGTGCTGAAGGCTGTCTGCTCGTTCTTCACTACACAACATGGACTGTTGCCTGGTTCCTGTCTGGAAACAATTATTTCCCTCATGTACCTCCTGGTTCTGAACAGTCAAAGACTTATCCCTAGACTTTCTTTTCATTTTTGCACTTTTATTAGCCCCTTCCTTTACAAATACAACCTGTCATTATATGTAATGCCCACAGAACAGCTCTAGCTCTGTTACTTGACAAAATTGCTGCCACATTTTAAGGCTGGGTCACTTGAGGGAGTTTTGTATCTGTAAATGTGCTATAGCAAATTCACCACGCCTTTGTCTGTTTGGATAGGATGAATTTTTGATGGTGTTTGAATTTGTGAGACTTTAAGAAAGGGTGGGACTTTAAGCACACATTATGGTTACAATGGTGTAAATATTCTTCAACAACCCCAAAGAATGGTCAAAACATCCACACACAGATGTGCAGTAATGCCTCCAAGCATTTGCAGATGCTATCAGAATAGCATAGTGCAGCTGTTTAAAAAAAGAACGTACCTGTTTATCTGCCTGAATTCCTGGATTTATTCTTTCTTTCAAATGTTCCTACTTTTTGACATGTGTATGCAGACATGAGGGAATGTGAGCAACAGATGACCAGAATCTGCAGATATTTGCACACGGGGGTAAGTTTATGCCATGAATAGTGCCATTATACTGAGCAAGACCCCTTTTCTGAGAAAGATTGATCTCATACTTCATTTCATGAAGACTAGTTCCTGACTAAGCCCAGACTGCGAGGAAACGAAGTGGAGTGGAAAGAGTCTATAAATTTCTTTTCCTGCGCTGAATTCAAAATAGCATTTCTCTTACTGGAAAAACAAACAAGCTCATTTTGGGTGTCTCTGTCTGCCTGCCCGTGGGATGGATTGGTAGTCCACACCTTCTGCCAATTCGGAGACCTCTCTGCCCCTGTTTATGCTCTAGGGGTTATGTCTTAATTACAGAAAAGCTGGTCTGCTGTGACATCAATTTCCCTCTCCAGGGGAAATTCCTAGCTGTGAAATCCTAGCAGAGGCAAATTGCTGTTCTTTTTTCTTTTCTTTTTTTTTTTTTTCCTTTGGCCAGTCCAGATCAACCCCAAAGCTGCCATCTCGGTTTGACCTTGACTACTGCTTTGAGAGTGAATCGGAGAGCCTGCTCTCCTAAAGTGCTGACGTACAGACAACTATTTCCAATGAGTTATCTTGATACAGAACTCGGGCTGTATCACAGCCAAGAGGCTGCTTCTCCTGCCAAGCAGGACCCAAGCCTGGGGGCTGCAGGAGCTGAGAAAGTGCTGTGTCCCTCCATGAATGAAAAAGGATGGACAGTATCCCGAAGGAGGACACTGCAGCCCTGCCTAAACCTGGGGCAGGCAACATCATAGCAAGTCAAAATGCCATCGACCCTCTAAAGAGATATGGGGGTCATCTTACCTCCCTTGGGATGTGCTCACCCAAAGCCACGCAACCTGGCCGGGAGGGCTGCGCGCCAACCTTGGGCTCGTGTGAATGACCAACACGCTGAGAAGCAGCAGGACTGAGCCGTGCTGCCGGGGAAGGGGATGTCGGGGGAAATGGCTGCGTTAACCCGTGCCTTCGAGCCGGCTGCCTGGGGAGGTGGGTGGCCTTAGGCTGCGCGTTGCTGGCGCTGCCGGCACCACCCTTTGCCTTGACCGCTGTGCCCCGGGGAGGACTCGAGCGGCCGGCAGCGCTGGGAGGCCGGGATGCGGAGGCGAGGCGGGGGATGCCCCCCCGGGCGGGCGCTGCCGGGGATGACCGGGGGCTCTGCCGGGCCCGCACCGCACGCCGCGGCCGCGGGTGGAAAATGCCTCGTGTATCTTGAACCCACAGCCCAGCCACCAAAGCACGGCGACAGTATTTTTTTTTTCTTAGCTAACAATGGAAACTTTTTTTTTCAGTATTTCCCTCCAGCCTGAGCCGAGCGAGAAGAAAAAAAAAAAAAAAAAAAACTTGTTCCGCTGAGTTCAACCCCAGACAGGCTCACAACTTCCTTCCTGCTCTCCTACCCCCTCCCTCCGCTCTCCTCCTCCTCGCTGCTCCTCTCCCTCTCCTCCTCCTCCTCCTCCTCCTCCTGCTCCTGCTCTCTCCGCCTTTCCAGCCGCACCGGGAGCGGGCGCCGGGGCTGCCCGGAGCGCGGAGCTGCCCGGAGCGCGGAGCCGCCCGCGCAGCCTTGGCCGCCGAGTCGCGGAGGGGCAGAGCCCGGCGCAGCCGGCCCGCCCCGGGGCGCGGAGAGGCGCTCGGAGCCGCGGAGGGAGCGGGAGTCCCGGCAGCCCCGCGGCGATGGTTTCGGCAGCGCCCCGCGGCCGCCGGCGGGCGCTGCCGGGCGGCGCGCACTGAGGGCGGGCGCGGATCTCGACCCCAGGTAAGCAGCGGCGGGGGGTGTCGCGGCCGCCCCTCCGCCGGGGGATCCCCGGCAGCCGCGTCGGGAGCGGTGCGGGGACCAGCCGGGCCCCGCGGGGAGGAAGGGGCGAGCTGGGGGCGGGCGGAGGGTCAGGGTGCTGCCCCGGGGCCGAGCGGGCCGTCCCACACCCGAAGTCTCGCCGAGCACCTTGTGCCGATGCTCGCTTTCGTAGCCGAGCCGGAGCGCGGGGAGAGTTGCTGTGCCGGGGATCCCTGTAAAGAGTGGCTGTCCGCACTGCCTGGGCTCTGTTGAGCCTTGCACTGCCTCCAAGCAGTGCCTGGAGGGATGGGAAGCCTTTTGGCCACACCGTCAGGTTGGACTGCGCTTAGACTTGTGGGCATTTAGCTGCCAGGAGCCTCACAGGGGGACGCACAGGAATACCGCTGATAGCATCGCACACGAGTGCTTCCAGAGGCATGTACACCCATGGCCAGAGTTAACGTGCTGTGTGTAAACAAGTTTGTACTCTGATGTGGGCAGTGTTTGTGCAATTCTCAGGAGTTCCCGTGCCCCGGCATGGCATGGGGACTGCAAGTCCAGGGTACATGGAGCAAACAGAAGATTACGGAAAGCACACTGACTGCACAGGGGCACAGAGAGCCACCTCTGAAAGCAGAGCCTCTCTCACACGTGTACACAGTCACACACTCGCCAGAACAAACACTACTGCACATCTCTCTGCATGTAGGGTCCAGGCTGTGACTTAGAGGCAGTTGCAGCCTGGGATGTTCCAGACAGCAGATGTGCACAGGGAAGGGACATTTAGCCAGGGCACTCATGAAGGTGTGCCAAGCCGTGTTGTTGCACATGGTAAGTTAGGGGAGTAACTTGAGATGTGACCCTATACCATACAAAACAGTGCAAGCAGGAAGTTGTACCATGTATCACACAACATAAATCCATTCTTGAGACTTGGTCTTGCTATAGGTAACAGAATGGAGGGTGACAAATTTGTTTGGAGTTTTTATCTTCCTTTAGAAAATGTCAGGTTTTGGGGCGAACACTTAAAAGCTGCCAACTTTCAGTTCACACCAGTTAACCATAATTCTCTTATTCTGTTTTGGGAATGGTTGCTGGCTGTTTGTCCTCTCAGACACTGCTGCTGCAGTTGTGTCGACAGGCAACCTGGAGAGGGGGCAGGGAAGGCAGGGAAGACGGAAAACAGCCCCAAACCTGACTTCCCCTTCACTCAGATCCTTCTGATGACCAGACTGGCCCGTGTCCCCACGGGTGACACACTGGGGATGCATGCAGGTGGGAGGGGCACACAGGAAGGGAAGAGTCTGGCACACTCTGTGCCCAGCTGCTTGGTGAGCTGAGGGAGGGCAAAGAACTACTCTAACTGCTTCTCTCTCCTCAGCTGTCCCGTTTTATGAAGCTGCGAGCCAGGGCCAGCCCAGCTCCCCATTTTCCTGCTGGCGATGCTGCTGGTCCCGTCGTGGAGAGACCCAGGACAGCCCCGCAGAGCCTGAGTGCCGAGGCGGCAGTGGCGACGGCCCCCCTGTGCTCCCCGGCTGACTACTATGGCCGTGTACTGCTATGCGCTCAATAGCTTGGTGATGATGAATAGCAACAGCGAGGTGACAAGCGGCAGGAGCAAGACGCCGCCTCCTCCCGGACAAGTGCTGCCCAGGGGTCCGGAGACGCCCGGCAGCTGCCGCTCGCTCCCTGTCTTCAGCCCGGCCCCGGTGCCGCCCCGCTCCCCGCGCTGTGGCCCCGCTTTCCTCTTCCCACCACCTGAGGAGCCCCTGCGGCAGCCAGGCAGCCCCGGGGGGCGGCGGGGCAGCCGAGGCGAAGAGGGACAGCCAGAACCCCCCATGGCACGGCAGCTTCAACGGGAGCTGCACAACGTGCAGGTGAATCAGAAAGTGGGGCTCTTCGAGGCACACATCCAGGCACACAGCTCTGCCTCCCAGCCACCCCGGAGCCCCCGGCTAGCCCGGTCCCATCCGGCCAGCCCCACGGCACCAGTGGTGGGACTTGGAACTGGACCCCGGCCACGAGCCCTCGGAGAGAGCGAGGCCCCTGATGCTGGTGGGGTGCAGGTTTGTCTGAGCGCTGCAGAGCCCTCCAGGAGGCCAGTGATGATGGTGGAGGTGGCAGAGAGCAGCAGCCCACTGGAGCAGTCAGGGCCTGCACCACGGCAAGAGGAGGTGGTGGTGGTCCCCACAGGACTTAAGGGCCAGCACCCAGCCATCGGTGGCAGCATCCCTGCCGTCATTGTCACAGACCTGGGGGGCCCAGAGGAGGAGGCGGGTGCCGTGCCCCCTGGCAGCCTGCCCGTCCGGAAGCTCTCATCATCCTCAGCGTCTTCCACTGGCTTCTCCTCGTCCTGGGAGGAGTCTGAGGAGGACATCTCCAGTGACCCCGAGCGCACCCTGGACCAGACCCCGGCCTTCCTGCAGACCCTGGACCAGCAGAAGCCCCGAGTGGTGAGTCTTGCACCAGCCCTTGGGAGGTGGGGTGAAGGGTGGCAGCATCCCTGCTCCGAGGCACAGCTGCAGCAGGTGGGCAGAGGTCTCTTGCAGCAGAGTTCTGCAGAGAAACTTTACTCTTGCTCAGTGGTGCTTGCTTTCCCTCAAATGAAAAGCTTTCAGACTTGGAAGAGGGGTAAGAGGGGTTACTAGCTGGAAAATCCTCTCATGAGAGAGTAGTGGTACCTGTTTCATTGTGCACAGTCCTTGCAGAGCTTCCCTGGTGCTGCAAAGCTGCCTGCCAGCATGCTTAAAATACATCCATGGACTGCAGCCTTCGGCTGACATGTGGTTGTGAGCTTCAGTTTTTCTTCAGCACAGCTTCCCTGGGTGATGGAGGTTTCTCATGGTTTACATGAGCCTGAGGGAGAATTTATTTCCTCCCTGGAGTTGAAACTGTGTGGGCCAACTGTCTGTTCAGGTTTACAGTGATGCCCATCACCACAATGTCTCTGTGTCTTTCACACAGAAGCAAAATGCTCTAGAATTTCTGGTAATTCCCCTTTTGAATAAAACTTTTTGCTTGTGGTATAAAGCACATTTTTATAATTTAGGTAAGGGTATTTTTATTAGGTATTTATATTAAGTTCATTTGTTTTGGGATCTTTGTTTTGGAGCTGGTTGTGAGGCTTAAGGCAAGAGAAATCATCAGTGTTGTGTTACCCTTAGAGAAAAAAGGTCTCCTCAGAGAGGAGACTTCTGAGGCATTCTCCAAAGGCATGAGACAGTCATGGGATTTGTTGTGCCACTGGGGTAGTTCATTGCATGTGTGAGTGCATCACACAGAGCGTGCTTTGCTCTGAGCTCTCACACCAGTTGTCCAGAGGGCTTTGAACCACTTTAACCCAGTGCAGGGCACCCATCACAAGGTTCTCCAACCAGCACATGGTCTCTGCTATCATCCAGCTCTGAGACATTACATTGATTTGAGCCCAGCACCAGAGCTTCCCACTAGCAAACCTTGGAACATGCAGGACAAGCCAGTGGCTCCTTAGTTTAAAGAGTTTAATAAGGACTCATGAACTTTCAGTGATGTATTTCACTATGTTTAGTTTCCTGTAGACACATGGTAGTGAAACTCCTGTTGAACTCAATGACACAAGGAAAACTAGTGCAGAGAAACATCTAGTTTCTCTGTGTGAAGTGAAGGCATCAAACTTGTAAGAACTGAGGCTGTGGTTTGTAAAACACTCAGCAGGCTGAAATAAGTGTCTTTTCTTTTGTATTCCTTTTGTCTTATTCCAAGAATCTAGGTTCAGTTCTGCTCAGGATGGAGCAGCAGCTGAGTAGAAGCAGTTAAAGAAGTTATGAGTCTGTAGTTCATTATGTTTGCAGACAGTTTTGTATTTTGGGGCCCTCAACTGATGAATCAGCTTGTTCCCTTTGGGAGCTGCTACAATCCCTCTGCTGATTAAATTCTGCTGGTTCTATGTGCATGAGCTGTAGTAATCTCTGCTCCATTCTCTGCGCTAATGACTGTTTCTAGTGCCAGATCCCACTGATTTGCTGCTGAAAACAGTTCATTGATGGGCAAAAGCATGCCTGATGCTCCTGTGGAAAGCTTCCTGGAGCCTCAGGCTGACACTGCGCAACCTCCCATGGCCTCCAGTGAGCTCAGCCAGGCCGGTGGCTCAGCAGTGAACAGGCAAGGCTCATTTGTATTGCTAAAAGGTCTGGATGAGAGTGAGCTCAGATCAGGTCTAAGATCAGAGTAACTGCTGGGCTCCATGGGACTACTCAGGCTAAACGAGATGAAGATCTGGTCCAAAATGTGTCAGGCAGCCTAAGGAGGTGCACTTGATTTTGTGTTTCAGCGCTGGAGACTCAGCAGGAGCAGCGAGGCTAATTTACAATGATACTTTCCACTGGGCTCCACAGGTCCCATGCAGGGCTGATCACTGACTTTGGCAGGTTATAGTGAACTTCTCAGCAGGATCATGTGCAAATGGCCAGTAATTCAAAATTGATCTCGTATAAATAACATCCAGCTTTGTGTACTGGTTGGCAGTATCTTGTAAATCCATAACGACAGCAGAAGGCAGCTACTGAAGCAGTGTCAGGTTGCACACTCATTTGTTTTCATGAACTCACTATTTCCTTTCAACAACGCACACGGTCTGGAAATGAGTTGTGTAATGAGAGGGAATGTGTGAGAAGCTCTCTCCACAACTCGTGCTTTTACTCAAATCCTGGGAGACCTTAGCTGAGAGAAACCAGCAAGGTGCCTCTGGGTGCCTGTGGGTTGAGTAGATAAATGCAGGGCAGGCAGAGAGTCCTGCCTGTCTGCACTGGGCACTGCTGGCGCAGGGGAGGCTGTTCTACCTGGAGGAGAGGTAATGAGGAGTGGCAGGAAAGCAGCTCCTGCTGCAGATACAGTCTGTGCTGCACATCTCACGTAGCATGTTTACAGATTTGATAAACAGCAGGCCTGCTCCTGCCCTTCCTTTTTGGAGGCTGTCTGGTTTAGCAAATCTGTTAGGGATGTCCGGCGGTCTATTGTAGTTCCTCCTGACATCCCGGGGAAACAGGCAGATCCCTCCGGCTGGCATGGACTCATCCTCCATTTGTACTTCAGGTAGGAAACTTTGTGTTCAGGCCTGAAAATTGGCCAGTAAGAAAATTATGTTGCCAAGTGAAAGGGAAGGAGGTACTGTGGCCACATTTTTGGACACTGTGACCTGGAGCAGCTCTGTGAGTGAAACGGGCTCTGTGTCTGTTTGTTGGAACAGTTTGCTCAGTGCTTTCCCTGTCCCTGGAGCGCCCTGGTGCTCAGTGGCTGCACAGAACCGGGGAACAGTGACCCTGCCACGGTGATTGCAGACTTGTGAAGTGCAGTGACAGTAAGAGCAATGTGTTTTGCTGTTTAATTGCAAATCCACTTAAGGTCTGAGTAAACTTCCACGTAAGGGCTTTTACAGCTGTGGCTTTCCCCGGGCTGTGGGCTGCTGCCGGAGAAACCCCACGCTTGTTTATTGATGCTCGCGAGGTTTCAGAGACTCTCAGAGCGACTGCACTTCTCAGGTTGTGTGGGAGGGACGGGCTGTCCAGGCAGCGTGCTGGGATGGGGACACTGTGGTTTGGAAATGCCGCAGGGGAGCACTCTGTGCACACCCCCTGTCACCAATATGGGCACTTTGGGGAAGGACTGGTCTGAGGCCTGTGCTCACCAACCATCTGAGGCAGGAGGATGTTGGAGGACTGTTGGGAGGCACCTGCCTCCACCACTGTCTCATGCTGAGGGGAAGAACTTCTCCCCTCCTGGCTGATCACGCAGGTTGGGTGTGTAGGGAAGTGCGAAGGTGCTCCTTTGTCCCAGGTTCTGAGTGGCACAGGTAGCCTGAAATGGCAGCCCAGTCTCCTGAGGAGATTTCACACCTAAAAGAAGATGTGTTCTAGCTGTGGCTCCCACTGACTTCTTGACTGGAAGAAGAGCAGTGTATGAGTTTTTCCATTCTGGAGGCTCTGTTGGCTTTTCCCAAAGGAGGGCTGTTAACCAGGATGTACTCTGCAACAGGAGACTTGTCCCACTCTTCGAAACTGGCTGCTCCCCTTAAGCAAAAGATATTCCAGAGCTGTTCATTAGTGAGTCCTTGTCATTGACCTAAGGACTCCCTAGTTTGTCAGCTTCTCTGCAGCTGGAGACAAAGCAACAGAGAAGTGGGAGGAAAGGCAGAAACTGTGCAAGCAAGCACGTACTATAGAAAAATGACATGTCGAGGGGGAAAGGAACCCCTTCCTGGAAAAACAGTGCAAGACACTGCAGTGTTCCTCTTCCTGGCTTTCCCACAGCCGCTGTGGAAATGCAAGGATGTACAGCAGAATAGTAATCAAGGGACTTGGTACTCTGTGAAACTTCTGCTCCTTTCAGCAGGCCGAGTAGATTTCTCAGAATAAGAGACTTCCATTAACCTGTGCGAAATGGCAAGAACTTTTGGAAAAAGCTAACGGCAGTGCTGATGACAGGCATTCTTTTAATTGATTTATTTGTTTGACTCACAATGGCTGTTAATGCAGTCTTGAAAGGAGCCAAGTTTAGATAGAGCTAGTGTCAGCCAAGGGCCTCTGGGACCTTTGCTTATTTCTCTTTGAGATGTTCCAAGGCATAAGCTGACAACGGGAGTCCTGATTTGTTCCTATAAAAATCAATCAAATTAAACATGCTTTCATTCCCTTTCCAAGCTGTTGCTGTGATCAGGAAGTCTCCGTGTAACAGAAACCATGACCACATGGCTATGGTGATACATACAAGCCCTGTGAATATATATCTTTATGCCAACTGTGTTTATATGTTTCACTCTTTTACTCCCACTGTGTTTGTCTTAAAAGCTCCTAAGCTTATGAGTGGTATCTCTGATTTAGTATCAATATAATGTCTAGTGTATCAGGGCCCTGGTGGCTTACTCAGAAGAGCAACTGTTCTTTTAGTAATGCACATCCTTGAAAGGGAAGATGTTTAGCACACCTGGTAAGCTGCCAAAGGATGGAGTCTCCCTGCTGCAGGAAGACATGGGGAGAGAGGGGAATGAGGTGGGCATCTCTGTGTTTCCCCTTTCAGAACACCATGCTCTGCAGACCTGGCAGCACTGCGTGTTCTGCCTGCTGGGATGAGATGAGGACACCCTCATCTGCGGGCTGGGCAGAGGTTCAGGCTCTTTATGGATGGAGGCTGTGCACTCTAGGGACTTCACAAAGCATCACTCCCTATTCCATAGCTAGTCCTCTACCTACTCACGTGACCTGCTCAGGGAATAAGCAGCTTTTTTATGGGCTTCCACCCACAGAGGCTAAGTGAAGATGCTGCCATAACCCAATGAGAGACATATGGTGCTACTTCAAGTCTGTTTTCATCAGCACTTTTAAGCTCGTTGGGAAGGGTTTCTTCTCTGTGATTGACAGGGCAGGAATTACATGGCACATAGCAGATCCTTTTCATAGAGGGACTTACTTGCTAGCACAGC